CCTGACCTCTGGGGAAGTACAGACTAGCTGCCTCCAGAGTAATGAAAGGATGTTTGATGTACAAAAGCTGGCTTGGTGTTACCAAGTGCAAGCCTGCAGGTATAGAAGAAGAAATTCAACGGGTCCTTCTTCAAGGGGGTGAGCAAAGTGCTAAATGCTGCAAAAGGCAGGATGCTGGGGTGGGAAGAGTGGAGGAACATTTGGCTAGTGGCAGGATGCTGGGATGAATAGAGGAAAACCCTGAGCAGGAAGCTGCACCAGATGCTTGCAGTGATACAGGAGCAGGTGGGAGAAGCCTCAGGGCCCTGCTGGAGGCAGCAGTGGCTGATCTCTGGGAGGGATGGGGTGGTATTCTTTGAGATAAGTAGCTGGGTTTCAGCTGCACTGGTGGCTTGGGCAACTTGAGCTCCCTGTGCTGATGGCCCAACCACGGTGCCTTTTGGAGCAAGGCTGGCAGTGGCTGGGCAGCACTGTGGGCAGACCTTGCTTCCCGAGGGCAGCCAAAAAACCGGGACCAGAAGCCATGGAGTGCTCCCACGCTTGCAAGTGCTGAGCACTGTCCTGCCTGACTAGCAATTGGGAAGAGCCAATTAGCATATTTTAATGTAACGGATTAGTGCCTGGTCACGCTGCCTGGGTGGTTGGTGATGCTCGAAGTGGATTTGAAATTACAAGCATGCAGGCACCAGACCACTAGGGAGCTGGCATAGGGGAGAGGCAATTTCTTGGATTAGCAGCTGCGAACTCAGTTTCTCTTCTATTCCCAATGGCAAGCTGCCTTCAGAGAGCACTGCAAAGGTCCAGGGTGAGCACTTGAAAATTAAGAAATTAACTTCCTTTAATTAACAGAATTGGGGTGGCTGCTGTGATGGTGGCTCAGCCTCTGCTGCAGCTCTTCCAGCCTCTCCTTTTGCAAAGCACAAGCCCTGTGTTCTCCTGTGGGAAAGGAGAAGCATCTTGCTCGGGACCAGAGATCCCCTGCAGGCAGACCCCGGGGAAAGGAGCAGAGCCCGGCCCTGTGCAGGGGGATGTGGGTCTGTCGAAGCCGGCTCTGACACAGATCTTGGGGGGTAGGTGGGAAGTGCTGCCCTGCATTCAGGCCCTGGCCAGGCTGTGCATGGCTGATGCTGCCTGCCCAGACAGTGCTCACTCACATCCTCCCATGCTCAGGGATCCAGCAGGGGTGCACTGGGAGAAGCTGCTGCCTGCTGGAGCTCTGTTTCCTTAGCTATGGGAGGCAGGAGGTATTTCAGGAAGGAGGCAGGCAGGTGCGGGGAGCAGCCTCCCTCCTGAGGCTCACTCACCCTTCCTTTGCACCAGGACTAAACTGCCCAGATTCCATTTTCCAGGTGCTTGCTCGGAGACCTGAATCCAGCTGGAAGGAATGCCAAGCGCCCACGGCCAGGCTGAAATCAGCACATAAGGTCTGTGCCCTGTGCTGTGCCAACAACATCGCTGGGCAAGTGCACTTTAACCTCCTCAGGTGTGAGCTTCCATCAATACCCAGGGGATAATCTCCCCCTTGTTCTAGGGATGAAAAGAAATTCATTCCTCCTTTTGAAGCATGAGCATAATGTAATGATAAGAAAAAAATCCTCCAAGGAAACAAGTAATTCTGTCCTGGAAGCAGTCTGCAGGTGAGAAGGTCTGAGGCAACATCCAGCTTATGCCACTACCAGCTATTCCCAGCCCTGTTTCCCAGTGCCATGTTCAGACCTGTCCACACTGCAGAGCCCCATGAAGCCCCACTGGCTCCCTTACGTATGCAAGGGAGGTGAGGGCTCTCTTCCATGGTTGCCTACAGGCAAACCCTGGACGAGGGCTTGTGAGTTGTGCTCGCCACACCCCAGCTGGCCCGCCCATCCTGGTGGGAATCAGCCAGCATGGGGACATCCTGGGATTGCTGTGCCATGCTAGGCTGGCCTGCTTGGGCACACAGACACAGTCGTGTTGGCTCCAGGAGCAGGAAACAGCAGCTAAAGGATGTTTTCATACTCACACCCACCCCAAGTCTGCCCCTGGCCTGCACAAGCTGCAGTTTTCCAGGGACATACACCAGCTCCACAGGGATATTCAAAGGCACATCCCTGGCTAAATGCCACACCTTTGCCAGCACTTGGCTCTGACGCTGGGCGACACAGGAGCTGCCCAAGAAGAAACTACAAGCCTTTTTCTTTTCAGATGAGCAAAGCAGTCTTTTTCTCCAGTCATTGTTCTCAAGTAGTCACCATCTTGCCTGAAAAGTGTCTAGACAAACTCAGCCTGAGTCCCTGAGCCTGCCTGGGCTTTACAGCTTACATAGTAAAAGCCGTAAGAAATGGAAAAGGGGAATTGCAATTGGGACCATCACACAGACAGCAGGATGCAGTGCTACAGCTCCGACTATGAAGCAGCTCCCTGTGCTGCATCTTCGTGCTGCCTCCGGCTGCGGCTCCACATCTCTCCTGCACTGCTGCAGGGTTTAAGCAGTGCAGGAAGGAGGTAAAGGGCTGCTCTGCACACAGAGCTGGAGGCTGAGCCACACGCTGCTTGTGCTTCCCAGGTGTGTGGAGGGACTTAAAACCTTGCAATGCCTAAGCCCTTGTAAATCCATAAGAAGAACCTGTAAGTATCTTCTTGGAATGAAGTCACAGTCACAGAGGCCCAACACATATTGGAAAATGAAGGATTTTTTCTCCTTGCTTGGATTTCTCTGGGTTTACCTCTTGGTCTATTCTGTTCAGTTCCATGCAGTTCAGTTCTGTTCTGTTTTCTCTATTCTGCTCTATTCTAGGCACAATCTGGGCCAGAGTTAGGAAGAAACAAGTATCTCCAAGGAATGGCATAGGCACAGGGTAGGTTTTCTCAGCTTAGTGTGATCCTGATGTTTTGGCAGACCAAGGGAGGGGGAGTGGGTGGTCAGTCCTTTGGGACTGGGCTAGCTCACCAGCAGCAAGGTTGCCAGCTCTGCTCAGAAGTCAAGATTTCCCAGCAGCATTTGCCACTTTAACTGATGGAGCGTATTGGTTTCCATTATGAAGGAAGTTCAAAAGCAGAGTGACCAGCAGGTCAAAGGAGGTGATCCTGCCCCTCTATTCTGCTCTCATGAGACCTCACTTGGAGTACTGGGTACAGTTCTGGTGTCCTCGACATAAAAAGGACATGGAACTGTTGAAACAAGTCCAGAGGAGGGCTACAAGGTTGATCAGGGGACTGGGGCACCTCCCGTATGAAGATAGGCTGAGAAAGTTGGGGCTGTTCAGCCTGGAGAAGAGAAGCCTGTGTGGAGACCTCATAGCAGCCTTCCAGTATCTGAAGGGGGCCTATAAGGATTCTGTGGAGGGACTCTTCATCGGGGACTGTAGCAATAGGACAAGGCGTAATGGGTTTACACTTTAACAGGGGAAGTTCGGGTCAGATATAAGGAAGAAATTCTTTATTGTGGGGGTGTTGAGGCACTGGAATGGGTTGCGCAGGGAAGTTGTGAATGCCCCACCTCTGGCAGTGTTCAAGGCCGGGTTGGACAGAGCCTTGGGTGACATGGTCTAATGCAAGGCATTCCTGCCCATAGCAGAGGGGTTGGAACTAGACAATCTTAAGGTCCTTTCCAATCCTAACCATTTTATAATTCAGTATGTCAGAGAAGCCATGGCTTGTGCAAAACACAGTCTGCACTTGCTGAGAAGTAGTATATTGGATATTGGGAACTCAATGGCAAATCACAATCACAAGTAATTTTAGGAAAACCTACAGATCTGTTTCTCCCACAAGCCTCTGCCTCTCAGCATTTGCACAGCACATATTGTACTAAACCAGCACAGTCCTCTCTGCTTTTCCTGAGGCAGACAGTGTCACCTGCTGCCAGGCAGCAGCCAAGCCTCAGTGATGCTGTAGGACTGGTGCTGGCTTGTCTGGATTAAGGGGGCAAGCTGTGTGACTTCTCCACATCACACGTATTGCTGGGGCTGAAGGAGATGACAATGAAAGAGATTTGGAAATCTTTTTTTTTTGTTCAGCTGTTCCCTAAAGTTTTAGGCTTCTATTGTTTGCACTATAGTAGCTTCTAGAAGTCACCAGTCAAGGAAAAGGTCTCATTTATAGTAAAGTTTTATCTAAATGCACCGTGTTGTAGCCCACCTGTGCTCTGCACCATGCTCCAGCAGAGCATAAATCATCTGAGTCCCACCTCAGGCTTGGGGAGCCTGAAAAAAAGAGAGACACTAAGGGAGACACCTGGTTTTCACCCCCTGGTTCCTCATGTCTGTGAGCTGTGCCAGCCTGCTTCCATCTGTAGTATGAAGGAAGGTTCTTAGCTGACAGTTCATTACAGTTTTGTTCCCTGATGCTTCTCCTGGTGGCATTTATAGCTGTGCTTGTCAGACTGGAAGGTCCTTTAAATGGCAGGGGCTTGTACTTCTTCATCCTGAAAGAGATTAAATGAGCCCAAAGGAGCCTTCAGTGGATGCTGCAGAGCAACACTGTTTACTCAGCATCTGGAGAAGCCACAGATGTGGGTTCCCAGGCTCCCTATGTAAGGCGGCAGCAGTGAAGCACCTGGGACTTCCCTGCGGTTACATTTTGTGCCATTTGGGATAAAAGGTGCTGTTGAAGTGGCCGTTACGTGGTAGCCAAGTTCCGGGTGTGTACCTGATCACTGGTTGTGAACAGCGGTGTCCAGGCGAGACACCCAGTATCGCACCCCTGGGTGTGCTGCCAGCCGCTCCTCCAGCATAGGGTACGCTGCCTGCATCCTCACGGACTGGAGAGATGACGAGCAAGGTGGAATTCTTAAGCAAAATCAGGCTCTCAAAGCCCCTTTGCACCTTGCTGGCTCAGCTCCCTGGTCCCACCTGCCGGTCACTCCCGATGGCAGAAAGGCATGGCCGCTCTGCGGAAATAAGACCCCTAGGAAGCCTCTTAGCTACCACCCCTGCCACGCAACTGAGCGATGCCGCAGCAACGACAGAGGCTTTGCACAGGCTGTTGAGGTCTCAAACACACCCACCCATCCATCCCCCTGCCGCTGTGTGTGAGGGCTGCCCCGTGTGCCCCTCGGCGGTGGCTGGCTGCCCCGAGGCCCGTTCCGCTCCCCGCGGTGGCACACTCCCGGCAGCCACCCCGAGGAGGGGCTGATGCAGCGGGCACAGCCCCAGACCCAGAAATAGCCTGAGGCGCGCAGACCCGCACCCAGCCTCTCCGCCGGCAGCTCCGCGCCGCCTCCCGGTACAGAGAGCAGGGGCCGCCGGGACCTCTCCTCCCCGCAGGGATGCCGCGGGCGCATGGTAGGCAGTGCGGCGGGGGCTGCCCGACCCCATTTCGGGCCCGCAGCTCCGGCCGTGTTTCAGCCTGGCGGCCGGCAGCGCAGGCCCCGGCGCCCGAGCACCTGTGAGGCGGGGGGAGCAGCCTGGGGACCGCGGCCTCTCCGCCGCAGCGGGGCGGGCGGAGAGGCGGAGCGGCGGCGGCCCCGGCCCCTTCCCCAGCCGGTGCCGGGCCGAGCAGCCAGCGGCCGGGCTGTGCGGGGGGGCGGCGGCGGGCACAGAGCCCGGAGCGAAGCGGGGCCGGGACCCCCCAGCAGGTCAGTCCGGGACGGGAGGCGGCGGCTGCGGGACGGGAGCCGCGGTCCGAGTTGCGGAGCTCAGCCGGCGCCTGCCGCGGCAGCAGGCGGGGGCCTTGCGGGCAGCGGGGCTCCAGCGAGTGGTGGCCCATGGGGCTCGTGGGGTGCAGGATGGGTCGGGGGGTCCTGCCGGTGGGGAGGCTGGGGAAGGGGGTTGGGAAGACGCTCCCTGCGTGGGGCTAGTCCTGGCCCCGCCGCGCTTAGCTGCGCCTCCCTGCTTAGCTGCGCCTCCCTGGGTGGGCCTGGCTTTGGCACTGCGCTGCGGGATGCTCACGGCAACTTGCTCGACTCCCTGGGCGGGTGTGCCAGCACCGCCTTGGGCAGCACCCGGGTGCAGCTCGGGAGGACGACCTGCGGGTCCGGGGTGCAGGGGCGGGTTTGATTTGTTGCTGTGGGAGATTTCTAGGCATTTGGCTCTGTTTAGACGCTATTTTCTTGCCCTCATAGTGGACCACACACGAAGTGGTTTTAACAAATGTTTGTCTCCGCCAGCCTGATGGGCGGCTGAGGCCCTGTGAGGTGCAGGGGCTCCCCTGTGCTCCTGGAGTAAGTCAGTAGCAACAGCAGGGAATGAGTCCCAAGCCCTCAGTGTCCTTTCCCAGGGCACACGCACTGGCCTGCACCGCTGTCCTCTGATACGAGATAATAGTGTCATCCCACCGCTGTGTCATGGCTTGTGTTTGGTTCCCACGTTATCCTGGCCACAGAATCCTCCTTCTGAGAGCCATACCTGACAGTGTCAGAAATGCTTCATGATAGCAGGGTAGATGAGGGGGACATCTCCCTGTTTCTCTCTCCAGCTTTGAGAGGCTGATGCCTCTGAAAGGGCTGTCAGGTCAGGATGAGCTAATGCTCTGGCTGAGCATCTCTCCTGCAGTTTATGACTTCATGCAGTTTTGTCCATGGATCAAGGTCCTTGTGTTCTCTCTAGTTTGCTTCCCCATCCTTTCTAGGAGCAGTGGTGCTGCACACTGTGTTTGCAATTCAGAAACCTCATGAACAGAATGAGTGTTATGCAGAAGAAAGAGAGACCTTTGTCTGGCTGGCAGATGTTATTTCTGCATGAACATCTTTTTCCTTTTAACTGTTTAACCACCATCTCCAGGATTGATGTACATAGCTGCCCTCTTCCCTTCTAGAAAGTTCGAAGGGGGAACAGGAGGTGAGGGGAAAGCTGTATGGGCCTAACAAGGTATGAGAAAGCACTTTGCCCCATGTTGGGGTTTTACAATGCTGTGTGACAGGTCAGGCTGCTTGTCTGAGCAGTGGAGTGAGGGCAGAATGTGCCATTTGGGATAACAGGTGCTATTGAAGTGGACTGAGATATTTGTTCAGAGTGGAGAAAGTGTGGAAAAAAACAGAAGGCAGAAAGACTGCTCCTGAGACCAGACCTGAACCTTGGCCTTGCTGCCTTCCCTGCTACCCTGCAAAGTGGTAGTCAGGGCTGGGCAGCAGATGGAGAGGGAAGCAGAAACAGCTCTTTCAGGAAGGATTTTCTTAAGTAGCCTGGCAAACAGCCACTGGCAAACAAATAAGTAATAAATAAAAGCAGGGAGGCTGCCGCACCCCTGCAGCCTCTGACTCCATAGGACGTATGGGCTCTCCTGGCTTCCCTGTAAGTTTAAACCTCTGCCTTCTTCCCATGACAGCATCTTGGCTCCTGCAGCTCCATCTGAATGCCTTTCAGCTTTTTTATTTTTCTCTGTGATAAAACTGGGATCTGTGGCTGCTCTTCCCTGAAAAGCTTTCCCTGAGGTTAACTAGTTCATCCCTGGATTGGTGGCTGCTGACAATGGCAAACACAGGGTGGTCCTGCAGATGGGGACAGAAATAGCAGTGCTTGCTGGGGACGCTGATCAGGGGTGTGTGTAGGCCCTCACAGATAAATACTGTCCTTCCATGCAGAGGCCCAAGGGAAAGTAAGGCAGCTTCAGAGCTGACATCTGCAGAGTTGTAAAAGGAGGAGTGTCCCTGCTTTAAAATATTCCTCACAGGAAATACTCCCATCCTAACAGGCTGCGAAAGCTTCCCCAAGGCAGCAAGGAGAGGGAGAAATGCTTCTAACACCTACAGGTGATTTCAGTTGATATTAAACTAATCAGTCACCTAAACTCTTAGGCAAGCATCAGTGTGCTGTGCAAATGCTGACACCTCATGACTCCTATAGACACCAAAGCCTTATACTGTTGTCACTCTGCGTTTGGTGAAACAGCTCTTCTTACATACTTTAATTGCTGTAAACACGTTTGATATACTTAGCCCTAAATTTGAAGGAAAAGCTGCATTGCTGACGCACTGTGCTCAGAGCAAAAGCAGGTTTGCTTCGGGGTTGTTTCAGGACAAGAGTCTCCACTCCCAGTTTCCTTCAGCTATGGCTTGATTATGTTCAGTCCCTAACCAGCTATCAGATCCCTCAACATCAAGAGATCTTAGAGCTTTTGAGGATCTCACTTGGCATCTACCCGGACTTTAAGATGCCTAAACATCTTTTTGAAGCTGGCTTGAAGTTATTGCTTCAAATGTAGTTGGGACTGATAATTAGTCTGTAATCACACCTTGTTATTAGGTGGGGACAATGGCAGCAGGTTGCTTACACTATTACAACAACAATGGGCCAGACTGTGCCAGTTAATGGTGCACAGCCCTTCCCACCACCCAGGCCACTATTACTGCTGGTTAATGGGTGAGACTGGGCATGGCATGTCCCCAGGGCCTCTCTGCAGAGGCAGAGGGAAGTGGGGTGGAGCAGTTTGGCAGGGGGCATGGGCTCCCCTCTCTCAGCCCGCTGACCTGGTCCCTGCATTACCCTCACCTCTGTGGTGGTTCCGCTCTCACTCGATCTCACACTTCCTCACCAGGTTTGCTTTTTATGACTCATCTTCGTGGTTCCCAAAGCCCCAGTGCTGTCCTGCTTTGCCTGTCCTGGTACAGCCCTCTCTTAGTGCATGGTTGTGTTGGCATAAGAGCTGCAGCCGTGCTAAGGGCTGCAGAGAAAACCTCTTTGGCTGAGGAATTGCCTTCCTAATTGAAATTACTGTAATGCTGCCCAGCCTCTGGGGAGCATAAACACCACTGTATGGAAGTGTTTCTACGCCAGGATCAGTTGTGCAGTTCCCAGCAGAGTACCCATGAGAAGCTGTGGCATTCATTTTGACCAAGGAGGGGCTTCTATGCTGTTGTAGTTTGATCTCAAATAAAGATATGTCTAAAATGGAGTTCTAAACAGAGGAGAAGGGATAGGCTCAGTGCTCCTGTTCAGTGGGAGCATGTGAAAGCTTTGGGTGACCCGATTATCCTACCCCCAGCACCAGCATTTTGTGTCTTGTCATGTGCAGATTGTGGGTGAGCTGAGAGGAAGGCAGGGTCTGAATGAGCTAAACTTCACTGCACCCGCAAGTGCTAAAAGGCAGGTTGTGAGAAGTGGGAAAACATGTCATTATGTAATTTAGAGTTCCTCCTAATAGGGAGAGGAACGGGCTCTGGCCCTGGTTCACTGGGAGTACTTATTGTTAGCTGGAAGATGATGGCAGAGATTGACACAAGGAGCTCCTTAATGTGCTGTGTTGGAGAGTGTATGGGAGACTGAAATTCAGATAAGGTAGAGGTGGGGAGTTAGGGCAAAACCCAGGTTTGGAAGGATAGGTAAGGAGCAGCTCCCAGCTGTAGGCCAGTGAGCTCTTCGTACCCTGAGACAAGACCTGGGGACACTGCGTTGGCCAAGCCAAGGTGACCCTACCAGAGGAGTCCCCTTGCTGTGCTACTCACCCAGCAGGTGACACACACTAAGATGACATGCCAGAGAAGTGGCACAGGTTGAGTGCTGAGGTGTTACATGAGGGCTGGCAAGCTGATGGGTGACTTGCAAGGCTTGGAAGCGGCTGACCATGGGCCATAGGGCACAGGTGTCACTGGGACAGCCTCCAGTAGCCTGGGGCTTGGGACCTATCTGGCTGGAGGACCTGGTTGCATCAGCAGGTTGAAACAGTCTTCTTGGCGTGGCTCTGGCTTGGAGCAGAATCTTCATTTTGAAGATAATCAAAACCTGCCTGGACATGACCCTGAGCAATCCCCTGTAGCTGACATTGCTTTGAGAAGGAAGGCTGGACTAGCCTGTCTCCCTTCAGCCTCGATGATTCTGTGATTATTTGTCCCATCTTGAAGTCACCATGGGGTAACCCCCAAGGCAGCATTAGAGAAATGACCAGAAATTCAGAGGCTTGCCAAACTCCTCTGTACCTGCAAGCAGGGGTCTGGAGGTCTATACATGGGTAAGAGACTCCCAGGGCTTGCAGGCTCCAGGCTGGGGACTTGAACCATTCCTTCTGTTTCTGAGCTGCTTTTGTCAGGGAGAGGTCACAGATGGCAGGACTCTGCAGGAGGAAAGTATAATGGCAGAAATGGCACAAAACCAAACCAAATTTCATAGACTTTAGTGTAAGTTTGATCTGTGCCTTGTTTGGCTCCTGACCTGCATCTGAGTAGGAGGATGGATTAGAGTCAGGATTTAAATTAATGATCAGAAAGCAATGACTTAGGTGCCTAGTTTTAATCTTGCTGTATTTGTATACTTCTACTCTTTTCCTAAGGACAAGTTGCTTCTCAGTGATAAGTATGTATGTTGTGGTACTTAGGGCTGAGCAGGAGGCTTCACCATGCTTAAGTGAGTGG